TATGTATCGTCGTCAGCCTCACGGTTTTAAAATGCATATGTTAGGGAGAGGTTTCTACACTCTTATAAAGAATGTTTTGTTCTTCTCTTCAACCGATGTGAGATCGCCAGTTTGTGTAAAATTTCTAGAATAAAAAAACAGAGACCCATAAGTCATAGCGATTCTTTTTTTAAATTGCATTGACCCGAAGAATGGACATGGAGTAATAAGTCCATATCGATCCGAACCAATTCACTCTCATTTGTAATAAGATTCTTGCAAGAAGCATTAAGTACTGTATTGCCCTTGTTCGTGGGTATCTCGTAATCATGTATATAAGGATTTAGTAATCTTTCATTTTGTAATCTTTCACCATAGGCCACAATTGTTGTAGTATATATTGTGTAAGAGCTCAAGCCCATTGCTAGCTGTTGTCCTTTTGGTGTTAGGTTCTAAAACCACACCATTCGTTCCCCTCTTCAATCAATGTGAGATCTTACTATCATCAGGGATCTCACAATCAACCCCCTTAGGGGGTCTGACGTCTTCACTGGCACACAATCTCGTGTCTGGCTATGATATCATTTGTATTGGCTCAAGCCTATCTCAAGCAACTTTTAGGGCTTTCCCTCAAAGTTAGGTTTTAAAACCACACCCTTCGTTTCCCTCTCTAACCAATGTGATATCATTTGTAATGGTCCAAGCCTACCTCTAACAGTTTTTTGGGCTTTCCCTCAAAGTTACGTTTTAAAACCACACCCTTCGTTCCTCTCTCCAATTGATATGAGATCTCACATTCAGTTATTTGGGGGTCTAGTGTACTCACTAGCACATCGTCCAATGTCTAACTTTGATACCATTGGTAACAGCCCAAGCCCACCACAAGCAAATATTGTTCTGTTTAGGCTTTCTATTGCAGACTTTCCCAATTCTACGGAGAGATTTTCACACCCATATATGAAATGTTTCGTTCTCCTCTCCAACTGAAATGAGATCTCACCCTTATAAGGAATTTTACATCTTGTCTCATGTCGTATGTTAAATTCTTTGAACTTAAGTGAAATTACAAGCTGAGTTCCTACACTTCCAAGATCTAAAAGATCAAATGTTCGAATTTTCACTCTCAAATATTACCGAACAAAAAAAACCCACCAATGCTCATCGCTTCAAAATCACACTGCCATACTCCGAACGATACAATATCCTTACCAAAAAAAAAAAAAAAAAAAAAAATTGGAAATGGGAGAGAGAGTGGGCAAATTCCATCCTAGGCATTAGGAGACAAAGAGAGTAGCATTTATGGAGGGTTAGCATAGCATTGACAGACACAAAAACAGTGTGTAAAAACCAATGGCAATACACAATAATGAACCACAGTGTCTCCAAATCAAGCATAAAAGTGAATGAAGAATGTACTGTTTTCCAAGAGCCATGCAGGCCACCGCCAGCAGCAACAAAGAGCTAAAGCATGCGATTGGCGTTTGGACCACCCTTCCATTGTGTACTCTTCCCGCAGAATCGCTACCCAAACCTAGCAAAATAGATATCATTAATGCAGCCCACCCGCCCGGGCTGCCTGGTTGCCTGCCTTTTGTGCATGCGCATGGGACATATGTTGCTATGCCATCCCATGCCCACCCCCCTACTCTTTTAACTACACAATGCTAAGCCAAACTACATCTTCCCCACACATTAAGCCCTAAACCCCCTTTTGCCTTCTCCTCCCAAACCCTACTCCCTCGTACCACGCTCATTCATTGCTCGCTCTCGACTCCCTTTTCTTTGTTTGATCAATTGCGTACACCCGAGAAATTATTGGATATGATCTCTACAACAATGATATGACATTGTCCGCTCTGGCCCGTTATTTATCGTTATTAGCCTCACGATTTTAAAATGCGCCTGTTAGGAATAGGTTTCCCTCCCTTTCGAGGCTTAACGTCCTCGCTGGCACACCGTCTTGTGTTTGGTTCTGATACCATTTGTAACAACTCAAACCCACCGCTAGCATATATTATCTGCCTTGACCCATTACATATTGTCGTCGGTCTTATGGTTTTAAAACACGTATGTTAGAGAGAGATTTTCACACCCTTATGAAAAAGGTTTTGTTCCCCTCTCCAACCGATGAGGGATCTCACAATCAACCCCTTCGAGGATCCAACGTCCTCGCTAACACTCATTTCTCTTTCCAACCGATGTGAGATCGTACTATCCACCCTCTTAGGGCTTAGTGTCCTCGCTAGCATACCATCCAATATTCAACTCTAATACCATTTGTAACACCTCAAGCCCGCCACTAACAGATATTGTGCTCTTTGAGCTTTCCCTTTTGGGTTTTCCCTCAAGGTTTTTAAAACGCGTCTTTTAAGGAAATTTTCACACCCTTATAAATAATGTTACGTTCCTTTCTCCAACTGATATGAAATCTCACAAAAATCAAGGTTGAGCAATGGTAAGACGATCAAAAAGTTGTCGTTCTCGACCGTAGAAAGTTGGGTCTCCAATAATTTTAAGGCCGATCGTGCTATTACAAACCAATCAAAGACAAATCATTAAGGCTGATAATGCTAGCTAGGTTAATTTAACTATACATATTCTAAGAATCAATGAGCGATAAAGAATACCGAATGACTACTTCCAATAATTTCTCGACATCCCTATCGTAGACTAGTTCGAGGTAGTCTTTTTGGGGTCGAAGGCTAGCGTTTTTTTTTCTCGGGAAATTTGGGCACAATTTTTATGTCCAAAATTTTGACTCATTAAGATTGAATGAATAGGATGATAGTGATAATGATGGTGATGAATCAGAGAATAATTCAGCATAATTGATTTTTGGAGTACGGGTAGCAATTTTAGATCCTTCAGAAAACAATAATATCACAATTAATTGTACATATAAATTAATATGTTTATATTTTTAATATATTAAATGCTTGTGATAATTATTTTATTTTCTGTTTTTCAAATAATTCTTTCCGAAACAAATTATTTATTAAATATTAATTTAGTTGAAACAAAATTAATAATTATTCACTATATATTTTTAATTCTTATTATTTTTAAAAAATAAAACAAAAAAAAAGTAAAAATACGATGACAATTAATTTTTGTTTAATAAAATAATTTGTGATACCCGTGAAAATAAGGATACATAAATGAACCTAGATCATATCCGATGATAGCGATCTTCAGGATAAGATGACTAAAAATAATTTTAAAAAAATGGAAAGTTGTTACTTATACCAATAACGTGCCGTTTCATTTTTTTTTTTGTAGCTCAATCATAAGAATTTTATAGTTACAGGACTCGTGTTGGTTTGTAGATTCTTTTTACTCTTAGAAGCGAAGAGTAAGTAACGTGACCATGTTGTAAGGAAATATCGGACTTTTGTTGCCTACGGCCAAGCGGCGTATGCTCGAGCCTCTGGCCTCGATTTAAGAGAAAGGTTTTAGAAAACGAGGGCAGAGAGAGATTTTTGGAAAAGAGATTTTGAAATAAACGTTATATAAGCAAGCAAGAGAGTAACAACAACAGCTCGCAATATAACTTTTGATAGGGAGGAGTTATATATATATATATATATATATATATATATATATATATATATATATATATTTTTTTTTTTTTGAAATTTAGAAAAAAAAATTTTTTTGTGAAAATTCATGTACTTGGAAATAAATTTTAATTTAATTATAAATAAGCATGACGTATGGATATTGGCTAATTTATTTATTTATTTATTATATTTATTTATTCGGCATTATTGCAACTCACATGCAAAGTTTTAAATATGAAGCACAGCTAACACTCATGAATGACGTGGAAATGGTAATGCATACTTTTTGTGAGGGAAAAAATTTTAATTACTTTTTCGAGAATTGTTATTTTTTTTGTTCCTTTTGGTTTTATTTATTTATTTTATTTTTTATAAAGCAAGCTTTAATTAATTTTTAAAGTGAAAAAAGAAAAAGAAAAATAATGTATTAAAAAATAGGTAAGCATTGGTAGTCACTCGAGCTCGATTTTTCACTTGAACCAATGTCAAATCGACTAAGTTGACTTTTTAAAAATAATTTATTAAATTGATCGATCGGGTCAATTTAATTGATTAGGTTCACCTCGAAATCGACTTGAATCTTTTATATATTTTTTTGAATTTATAAAATATAATTTATTTAAATTTATTTAAATAATTTTTTTTAACTGGACCAATTTTATACCCTAAAAGTTCATAAATGACATTTAATTGTAATAAGTGAGTTGAATTATATGAAAAAAAAAAACCTAATTATAAAGTCATAAATCTTTAAGGTCACCTTCACTAATGCAACCAACTCTCCATATTGGCTATAATAAAGAACAACCAACATCAATGCAATCGGAAATCGAGAGAGAATCGACGGAGACCATGGCTGCCGCCTCCATCACCGCCACCCTGACACGTGGGAAAGTACTCAAACGCCCCTAATTATCGTCGAATATACTTTTCGAACTTTCTATATCCTCTACTGGTAATATCTTCATTGTATATTCAACGGTATAGGACTATCAGCCATGAATGACAGATAAGGAAGAAAGTCAACGATGACGAGGTCGATCGACATCATGGCTAGAATGAAAGTGCTTCCTTGTTTTTTCTAGTCAAAATTTGCCTAAACCTTCATCTTATTGATTGATTAAGCTCCTTAATTAATGGTAGAGAGACAAATCATATATTTGAAGCTTCAATCTTCCAAATTTTGCATGAAAATATTAACGACCAATATCTCCAATGTTTTGTTTATTGATTATTTTTTCTGAGTTTTTTTTACTTTTTCGTGTTCATAACTCTCTTAATTTTCTAGCTCGATGAATCGAACCGAAAGAGAAAAAGATCAGCTAGCTTCGAGTTTCTCATAATACAAAGAACAATGTCTTCATAAATAATAATTAAAAAAAAAAAAAAAAAAAAAAAAAGCTAAAGAACACTTATAATTTAGGGCAAATTTTCATTTTTTTTTGGGGGATTTTAAGGTTTTTTTTTTCTCATGATCTAGAGGGTGGGAAGAACTGCGTACCAGCCATAAATGCATTAAGAGGAGCTGGATATATAGAAGGGTCAAGCAACGGCGCGACGGCGGCGGCGGTGGCGGTGGGGTTGGAACTGGTTGCAGCCGAGGTAGTGGTGGAAGCGGCGGCGGCGTTGGAGGGTCCAGCAATTAAGTTAAGTGGGTGTACTGATCCATCTCCTCCGTGGCCGGAGGAGCTCTCGCCGGCGGTGTAATGGACTTCAGAGCCTTGATCGTAGAGAATTCCTTTGAACACGTGGCCTCCGATATTCACAGCCGTCTGATATGCAAACTCTTCATCCTCATCGTCCATCGCGCTTACTTTCACACACCGAAACACCGCCGGTGAGTTCACTTCCGATGGAAATTTCTCCAATTCTAACCCAACAGTGTAATTAATTAATTAATTAATTAGTCAGAAAAATTAGGGTTTTTTTTATTTTTTTATTTTTTTATTTTTTACCTGAGGTGAAGGAGGAGGGCAAACGAGGGGTGGCGGTGGCGGTGGCGGATTGGGTTTCTCTAAGTCGTTTGGAATTATCCCCACTACGAAACTGCCGTTCACGGCGTTTAGCCGCCGGAACCCACGTGCTCTTCACGTGAGTCTGGCAGTGAAACCCTCGGCTCTTACAGCAAGTCCTACACCGCAAATAAGCACAATCCTTCTTGGCTTGGTTGCCGCAGTCTTGGCAATTGATGCCTCCGGCAGTGGCTGCGGCGGGTCTGGTGGCGGTGAAGGCGGATCTGGAGGGGTGATCGGAGTCGGTGCGGCGGCTCTGACCAACGGCGGAGGAGAAGTGGGTTTGGTAATGTGGAGGCCATATTTCGAAGCCTTTGTGGTGGATTTGTTGGTCGTTTCGGTACATAAACAAGGTGGGTTGTGTTTGTTTGTGTTGTTGTTGTTCTTCTTTGTTTGGTGGGCCTTCTTCTCTTCCTCCTACATAGAACAATTCAGCCATTTTTTTGCCCTAATATCTGAAAATAACATCCATTTTCTCTCTTTTTTAAACAATTATTAATGGGTTTTTTATTAAATAAATGTTTAATAAACTCAAACTGATAAAAGAAATGTTTTTTTTTTCCTCTTTTCTTTCTCATTTCGATGCAATTATGGCACGGAATTAGAGCTCTGCAACGCCGCCATGGAAACTGCCGGCTTTCTCTCTCCTCTTTGTAAAATAAAAAAAAACTCCTCATTTAAGATAAGTAGACCAATGATATCCTCTCACTCGAGATATTCATCTAGATTGAAGGGATAGGTCTCGTTTATGATTGTATGTGTTTGTATTGAATTCCAATATTTGTTAGTAGTGGGCTTAAGTTGTTAGTAGTGGGCTTGAGCCGTTACAAATGGTATCAGAATGAGACACTGGGTAATGCGTCAGTGAGGAGGTTGAGCTTTGAAAGGGGGTGGACATGAGATGGTGTGTCGGTAAGGACGCTGGACTCGAGTGGAGGTGGATTTGGAGGGGGAGTCCCGCATTAATTGGAGAAGGGAACGAGTGTCAGCGTGAATGTTAAGGACTCCGAAGGGGGTGGATTGGGGGGATCCCATATCGATTGGAGAAGAGAACGAGTGCTAGTGAGAACGTTGGGGCTCAAAGGGGGAGGACGTGAGGCAGTGTACTAGTAAGGACACTGGGCTCTGAATGGAGGTGAATTCGAGGGATCCCATGTCAATTGGAGAAGGGAACGAGTGCTAGTGAGGACGTTAGGCCCTAAAGGGGTAGACACGAGGCAGTGTGCTAGTAAGGACACTGGACTCTAAATGGGGGTGAATTTGAGGGATCCCATGTCAATTGAAGAAGAGAACGAGTGCTAGTGAGAACGCTGGGCCCCAAAAGGGGTGGACACGAGGCAGTGTGTTAATAAGGACACTGGGCTCTAAAGGGGAGTGAATTCGAGGGATCCCACGTCAATTAGAGATGAGAACAAGTGCCAGCGAGAACCCAGGGTCTCGAAATGGGGTGGATTGTGAGATCTCATATCGGTTGGAGAGGAGAATGAAGCATTCTTGATATGAAAACCTCTTCATAGCATACGCGTTTTAAAAATCTTGAGGACAAACTCGAAAGGAAAAATTAAAAAATAACTAACAGTAGGTACATATATAAAGTGGGGCGGAATCAGGGACGGGAACGAGAACTGGCCTCATTTAGCTAAAATTCCTTGACTCTCTCTTCATTGTTTAAACCGAGATTCTCCGCCCGTTCCTAGCGAGTTAGGCCAATAGGGTAAGTGTACATGTGTATCTCTTACTTTCTCTCTAGAGAGAGAGAGGGAGAGGGAACATGAAAATCTAGGAGTGGGCACTTCATGGACTGTTGTCTGTCTTCCAGTTTCAATGAACAAGATCGAGCTAAAATCTCGATCCAATGGTTAGCATCTGTCCACGTGTCAAAAACTCAACTTTTTCTTATTCGTCCTTGCACCGTAAAACCCGCAGGCCCCTTTTAATTTTTCCTTTTTCGCCCCACTATTATTGAAATAATTAAATTAAAATTATTTATTTATTTATTTTATTTTTTAAAATCTCATAATCCTCACACCAATCAATTTACTCTACCGAAGAAGGAATGTTATTGTCACATGCAAATCCCGGATATCTCCACGACAGGACCCTCTGAACCTGACATATATTATTTTCCATTATTTTTTTAATTCACCTCATAAATTAAAATTATTTTATTTTATTTTTTAAAAAAGGATTGTCGTCATTCACGACATTCAGACATACGCTTTTGTGTCTATTATTTTTCTTTTTTAAATTATTGATTTATGTAATTTACTTTTGACAAAGTTTTCAAAAACATAATTAATTTTTAAAGACTACGAAAATGGTTTTATTCAACAATTTTGTTTTTACTTTTAAATTTTAAATTTAAAAAGAAGGTTGAATCCTTAAAATTTGACTAAAAATTTAAATATTTTTTTTACATTAGTTATTATTATGATTATTACTACTATAATATCATAATTATAATAATAATTGGATAGAGGATTTTGCACAAAATAATTAAATTATTTATTTAATATTCTTAAGCAATTATTACAAAAAAAAAATAAATAAATAACTAAACATTATTTATTTAATATTTATTATTATGAGAGTAGGGATTAAAAAAATTGTGGGTCGAATTTACAGACGAGTATTTTTTAATATTACCATTAATTATCAAAATTAATTAATTAATTTTTTAATATATATATATTAATATATGTTGAAAATATATTTCTATTAATAGGGTGGGACGGGAAATTTTCTTAAATAATTAGTTAAAAATTAATAATAATAGAAAAGGTATGGTTTATTACAAATGTAGGAAGGTTAAATTATTTAAGAGAAAATTGAAGAATATATGACGTGGAAAATTGAGAAGAAATAAATAAAAAATGAGGTTAATTACGTGTAAATAGGGGTAGAAAAGGAAGGCTAGAGGAGGTTAATTAAGACTCCATCCCTTTTATGCAAACAAGCACGTGACTTGCGCTGAAACTTAGTGGGTAATGTCCACTAATAATTGGGTTCCAATTATAATAATTATATAAATAATATAAAAATTTGTGTTGGCCGTGGATTTGAATGCTGACTAGGATCACCACCCCGCCGGCGGCCGTAGTTACCGTACATTCGCCGTCCTTGATGTTTGACGTGGCATTTGATAAAGTTTAATAAAGATAGGGGGCAAAATGAAAATTGTATAATAATTAGGGGCCCGAGGCAAAATTCAAATTTGACTTTCCCCCACTGTTTGATTTGACTTGATCTCGACAAAAATATTTATTTATTTATTTTTGTTTATTCTGTCGTGAATTGTGATTGATTTTAAGTTTTTTTTTTTAATTTATTTATTTTGTTGAGCTAGCTGTCGTAGTGTCGATTAATATTCTCATTTATTTTGGTTATTAACTCTCTTTTAGTTTATAACTATTTTGATTTATATTCTTCGTTTATTTGGTTCATGTATGAGAATTAGTATTATTGTACCTATACATGAAGTCATTGTTATTTTGTATTTGTCTAAAGGCAATTAGGATGAACTTTTGTGGAGAGTAAAGGCATGAGAAATACAGTTGTAAACATTTTGATTATATTGATTGGCTATGACTGTAGGGGAATTTTTTTTTCTCCAAACCACGTAAATCTTTGTATCTCTTTGTTTAATTTATGTGTGTGGGTGTGTGAGTGCAATCAATCTTACTTCCGTTTTCGCTACAATAATTAGGTATAGAGCATTTTGGTTGTGGCCTTACGACACAATAAGTGATATGAAAGTATCGAACGTTGACTTTAGCAATCTAAATATAATTGAGTTGTTTTATTCTTTTAAATTAATTTTAAAAAATAAAATTATCAAGTACTTTTAAATAACTAAAATCTCTTAAAAATTCAAATATCAAACATTTACCCGTCACAACATATCACTACCATCAGTTATAAACGTTAAATATTCTTAATTTTCATAATTAGATTAGGTTGGAACACTATTTTCGAGTTGGATGAGTTGACCCAACACTTACAAATTGATCTAAAATTTCAATTTTCAAAAAATTCAACCCAACTCAAATGGAAATATATATATATATATATAACCTAACCTAATCTAACCGTCGTAGTTTGGTTTGGATAGTCCAGATCGGTCGTGTTATTTAATCCTATGAACATCCCTAATATTATCTTTATTCTTTAATCGTAAAAATGAGTGAAAATATTATTTTGGAAGAGCATACATAATTCAATTGTAACTATTATGTATATCATATCGATATTTTATATGCTTTATTTTTTTTTATTGGATGAATTTTGATTGACTCGAAGTTCCACATTTTATAAACTAACGTCCTATCAACTAAAATTAATTATTCTAAAGGAATCTCTCACTCACTTCACCAAAAGCGTTTCTTTATTGGTTCAAATGTTTTCTTAATTGTCCCATCACAAAAAATAATAATAATAATAATAATAATAGGACAAAAGACATCCTTAATTTTGTCGCGTGAAACGTGTTTTTAGAATGGGCCACATTCCAGGCCCAGATTCGGCCCACATTTTTCGTTGGGCCCCCAGATCCAAAAAAGAACGAAAAAGTGTTTAATTCCACGTAAGCATGACTTAATAATAAGAGAGAGAGATAATATTTTTTTTTTTTTAATTTACATTTTTAGGGATAAAAAAAAAAACTATTAATTTACGTTAATATTTTTAAAATTGTTCCCTTCGTATAATTTTTAAGTTTAAATTTTTTAATATTTAGAAATTTCTATAAGAAAAAATTAAATATTTTATTTTTGTTCTCATTTAACAAATATTAAATTAAATAAATTATTTATTTAAAGTTAAGTTATTTTTTAATATTTTTTATATAATTTTTAAAAAGTATACGAAAGACAGATTTAATGAAATAAATAATACTGGGCTATGCCAAAATTTACATAGAATTGAGGGGCACATAATGTAAATATTCGATTTTTAAGAGCCCATTTTTGAAATATTGGAATCCAAAATCAGGCCCAAAATCTGAATCGTTGGCTCTTTATTTATATTTAATATTAATGACTTAATTCTTATTATTTGCCTTAATTATTAACTTAATTACCACAATTATGAGTATTTTAATATGGCCATTAATGATGTAATAATAAAACATAAGCCTCCGGAAAACGGAAACCGTGTCTCTTACTTATGTATTCAGAATTTTTATTTTTAATTAACTAATGAGACTTTAAGACCACATTTTTTTTTAAAAAGGTTTGAACGACAGTTATTCGAAGAACTAAAAAAGCTAGGTCCGATGGTATTCCTATTAAAAATAACCTAAAATTCGTTTAAATAAAATTAAATATTTAATAACATATTATATATTTTATAAAATTTAAAAATATATTAAACATTATTCTAAAAATTTTAAAATTAGATGTGGAAGTTTGGCTTGAAAATCCATGTGAGAAGAAGAAAAAAAAAATAGATTAATAAAAATAATCATAAATTTCTTTTTTTTTATTCAAATGTTTCACTAATACCCTAAACTTAAAAAAAACATAAATAATAAATACTTTTTTCAAAAATACCCTTTTTTTTATTAATATCCTTCAAATCTTTTAAATTATTTAGAGATATTATTATCATCTGTTTAAAAATATAAGTATAAATTTTAAAAATAGTATTAATATCATTAATTTTTATAAAATAAAAACGGTCTGTAAAGGATATTTAGTGGTAAATTATAATTTACCATATATATCATATTTGACATTTTATTATAAGGTAAATATTGCCTTCTTATTATAGGTATCTTTCAATTTATTATTATTTTCATATTTTTATAATTTGTTTGATTATAATTAAATAACTTTCACATCATTTAGGTAAGGTGAATTGAGAAGAAGAAAAAAAAAATAGATTAATAAAAATAATCATAAATTTCTTTTTTTTTATTCAAATGTTTCACTAATACCCTAAACTTAAAAAAAACATAAATAATAAATACTTTTTTCAAAAATACCNCATTTTATTATAAGGTAAATATTGCCTTCTTATTATAGGTATCTTTCAATTTATTATTATTTTCATATTTTTATAATTTGTTTGATTATAATTAAATAACTTTCACATCATTTAGGTAAGGTGAATTAAACAAACATTATCAGACCCAAATTGTAAATTGCACTTCATAGATTATCCCTATTTTAATGTTACTTTTAAAAATTTTTTAAAACGCGACCCAACATTTTTGAACTTTTAATAATAATAGAAGTTTTAAAGTGTTTTTTGAAATTAAAAAAAGAAAAAGTTATTTTTTAAGTTTTTAAATAAATTTAAAGTATTAGTGAAATTTTAGAAAATTGATTTTGAATTTTTTAAAATACTTTTGAAACTTAAAACAGTATTTTGAAACATTTTTTAGAGTTAGAAAAATATTTTTTAAATAAAGTAAAGTAAATATTTTAGATTTTTTTTTAGATTTTAAAAAATTTAAAAATAATATTGGAAGAAAATGGAAGATGTATTTTTATTAATTTAGAAAAAAAAAGATCGTAATTATTTTTTAAAAGAATATATACATTAAAAATATTTAAATTAAACGGTTGATTTGAAATGTGTGGGCTTCTTCACGTGGGTGACACGAGGTTCCAGATTAAAAATAATAATAAATAATATATATATATATATATATATATATATATTAGCAGAACTGTCTTCACACTCAATTTTTCAATTTAAAAATTTATTGGATTATTACATATCCTACGGTAGTTTGATAATCCAGCTGGCCCTGTCCATCACAACCGTCCAACCGACATACATACGTAGATAATTTATTTTTTGAAAATGATTTTTAAATAAATTATAATTACAGCCACAGTAATTTTTTTTAAAGAAAAATCACTATTATTGAAATACAAAAATTTATAAAATAGTTATTATAAATTTCCGAACATTCTATTTTAGTTCTTTAAATATGTTTCCCAAACTTAACCCATAACCTATCATACACGACTTTGAATACTCAAGTCTATCGTAGAGCCAACCCAACAAATCGAACTAGACCCATTTTGTCGATCTCACAAGGGGTCGACTATATGACCTAATTGGTTGACCCTTTGAGGAGTCAGACTTATATCGGTATGTAGCCATTCCACTAGGGACCATTCTAGGTTGTTTGACTAAGTCTTTAAAGTCGGCCAAGGTTTCAATCGATCCTTTGAAAGTCGATCAGGTGACTCTTGGTGAACCTGGAAGAAAAAATGATCTTATGGGTGAGAGACGGTCAAGTGTTGGCTAATGGCTAACCATTTGACACTCAAAGATCTCGTTGAGCTAAAACATGAGGGATTAAATAAGACTATCTTGTAATTATGATGACTCAAGAGCAAAATGAAGAATTTAATGAATCGCCCTCTTGAGAGTATGTCGTAGTGGGCCACCACCTTCGGAGGATTAAAAAAGATCGACCCTCTCGGGACGATGACAAAGCGAGCGATCCCCTAAGTCTTAGAAATTGACTCTTGGGAGTAGCGATCACTTGGAATTATCTTTTGTTTTTTAAGCTCTCGACAAACCCAATTCCTTGTTCTAATTTGATTTTTAGATATATATAATAAAACGGGTGTTGATAGGAACAAAAAACAAGAATTCTCTTATCGTTTTCGATCCATTATCATTTATACGAGAATTCTCAACAGGGTTTTCGAGAATGGGTTCTATGAGCACCATTTAGGTAACATGGAGAAATCTCTCATCGCTTTCGCACCATTATCATTTAAATGAGAATTCTCAACAGGGTTCGAGAATGTGTCATCGAACCATTTCGGTAACACGGAGAAATCTCTAATCCCTTTCTCTTCATTATCATTTAAACGAGAATTCTCAACAGGGTTCGAGAATGTATTCGACGAGCACCCATTAAACAACACAAAGAAATCTCTCATCACTTTCTTCTATTCTTCATTTAAAACGAGAATTCTCGAGAGCAGGCCAATTTAGTAGCGCCGAAAGAGACGGTCCCAAAAGTACAAGTAATAACCATTAAAATATCGTCTCGATTCCCTCCAAGAGGACCTTATTTTAGGCATTTAATGTCCCCTTTTTCACTCTAATGCCCTTAAAATATGCTCCCATTTTTTCTTCTCTTCCCAATACAAAAGATAAGATAACCTTTCTTTTCTCTACTCACACTCTCCAACAACTCTCATCTTCACCCATTCCTTTTATTTTTTAATTAAATTATATTTTTGGATCTTGTAAATAGAAATTAAATTTAAATATTAAAAATAAATATTTTAAATACAATAACAAAAATGGTAATTAAATTAATATATTTATATCACTTTAAATTTATTTATTTATTATTATTATTTTATTTATTATTTTGGCCTCCTTTGACTTTCTAATAATAGTTCCCATTCCAAGAAAAGGGCACATGGCAAACCCTTGAATAATTTACACGTGGAATGTTAGCACTATATATATATATATAATTAAATTAATCTATATTAAGGATAACTATAAAGTTTGGTAAATATTTTTTTTATTAATTAAATTAATTAAAATATATATTATCGATTAATAATTTAAATAAATTATCAACGTGTTACATCTTTATAAAAGTCAATGATATCGAAGCTTTTTTTTTTATTATTATTATTATTATTATTTTATAGTAGGTATATCATTATAGTATTATAATTATATTGGTAGTTCTCTTACCTAAATATTATTAAATTATTTTTCCCGATCAAAATTTAAGATTTGATTTAAATTAATCAGACACGGAATTGAAAAGTTCGAGCCATTTTAAAAAAATAAATAATTTGTCAAATTATGAAGTTATTCCGTGAAGTTTGGGATTAGCGTCGGTTTAATTATTCAATTGTGAAAATTACTTTTTTTTTTTTAATTCACATATTAATACAGGGTTCTATTTGGTATAAATATAATTTTGTCACGTAGAATCACATCGAGAGATCAATTATATAAAAATTTGAAATATTAAGGACGGAATATAGTTTTTATTAATAAAAATGTATAAATTAAATTAATTAAATCATGGTAAGTGAAGACAGACAATATGATATGATAAGATAGGCCTTTTCATATAAGACATAACATGGTCATACTACATACTTGTGTGTATGTTTTTTTTTTTTTTTTTTTTTATAAATATTTTAAAATATAAATTATTTTCTTTTTGAAACTTTATTTAATATAAATTGCTAATATTTATATTCGATAGCGTTTCATAATGCATATAATAATAGACCGATGAACTGAAAGGTTATTTAATTTTATATATCGTTAATTAAATGTACTAATGATATCGTAATTAATATTTAGAGGAAGAAAATGACCTAATTGAAAAAATTAAATTAATACGGCTCTGAACAAATTTTGAATTTGTGTCCATCAATAATTAGAATTAAAATTCAAAGTTAATTAAAAATGTAATTAAGACCGTTAAAAACGTGATAGTTTAAATAGTGAGGTGCATGCTCGGTGCAATAGAAATATAGTTCTTTTCACTATACCGGTTAAGATTGTTAAAAAAGTTAGGTGTGACTGTATGAACTTAAAAGTCAAGGTGAACGAGGTGTGGTCAACTCTTCTTTATCTCACTCGTCGTAGGACATCATTGGTGTCCTCGTTGCGGTCATCGATGGTGTGCGTGTTAGATGAACACGACTCTCCTAACGATATGATACTGTCCACTTTGAGGATAAGCTCTTATGGCTTTGATTCCTTGATTATAAACCCATGATCATTCTCTAAATTAGCCGATGTGGGACTTTTCATCCAACAGTGGGTACGAGTAGTGACGACACGACGAGAATTAGTTAAACAATGACAAACTCACTCTATGTCCTAGTGATCTTTTACTTTCTCGACTCAATTTTAGTGCTGAACGGCTACGAGGGGAGCATCGTACGAGACAGTGAGTTCCATCGAGGGACTCTTAAGGCTCGGTAGTATGACAACTCGAGCTCCACTTGCTTCATAGTTTTCTCGCTTGTTGTCTCACTTCTGTCACTCTCTCAAACTTAGCTCTTACTCTTCATCCGTACCTCCGTTGACGATTATGTATTAAAATCGAATCCCGACTCAAAAAGTTATTTGTTTTGAGTTATAAAAAATGTGGGTCGTTTTCTCGAACACAGGTTAAACGAACTCGTGTGGTTAAATTATTATAATTTAAAAAATTTAAAATTAATTAGTGCAACTTTTGAGGTGGCGATGAACATTAGATTAATGATTCTTTTGGTTTTAATGGGTTTAGTTTGTTGATTAATTAAACTAATTACTTCCGCTTCTTTTAATATCATTAATCTCTCTTCTTCACCGCGGGAAGATCGACAGAGATGTACGATCATTCTTATTATATTTTGTAATTTTCTTCTCCAATTCTCTCCAGGTTCTTCCCTGACTTCTCTTGCTCCGGCGAGTTTCTTCTAATCTTGATATGAAGATTCAGTGTGATGTCTGTGAAAAAGGCGATGCGTCAGTGTTCTGCACGGCGGATGAGGCGGCGCTTTGTAATCTCTGTGACCATCGTGTCCACCATGCGAATAAGCTCGCTTCGAAGCACCGCCGCTTCTCTCTGCTCCGCTCTGCTGCAGCGGAGGCACCTGTCTGCGATGTGTGCCGGGTATTTTGCCGAGATCTGATTCTTGTTGTTTTTGGGTGGATTGGGTTTTGTTCTGTTTCTTGTTTGGTCTGATTTTGGTTTTTGAATTTGATTTTGTTTAGGAGCGGCGAGGGTTCTTGTTTTGTCAACAGGATAGAGCGATTCTGTGTAGAGAGTGCGATGATCCAATTCATTCGGCTAATGAACTCACTATGAAACACGATAGGTTTCTTCTGACTGGGATTAAGCTTTCCACTACCGCTGCTCTGTACGCGCCGCCTCCCTCCGACGAGAAACCGATCAAAACTGGTCATCGTACTGGTTCTGATCACAAATCAAAGGGTTCAGTCAAGAAACCAACCGTTGTTCCTGCTGCTCCGGTAGGATGCACATCAAGTGTTTGTGTTAATGCCTCAACCAACATACCTCCGGCAGTGGCCATGAACAAGGGCGGCGGAGGTCAGATTCCGACAGGAGGCGGTGGCTCAGCCAGTAGCATATCGGAATATTTGATGGAGACACTTCCTGGGTGGCACTTTGAGGATTTACTCGATTCCTCTGTTCCTCCCCCTTTTATGGAGGTTTGATTTATTCACTGTTACTGTGAAGAACTGATGTGGTTAATGATATTGATTGATAGATTGTGTTTCTTTTTCTTGTTTGCAGTGTGAAGGGTTGGGATTACCATTTGAGGAAGGTGATTTCAACAGTGGCCTTTCACCATCGGAGCGTTTGGAGCTTTGGGTCCCTCAGGGGCCGATTTATGGTTCAGGATTGATGATGAACAGTGGGGTGAAGGACACAAAGGATTTGGTAGTAAACTCATCAAAAGTCAATAGAGTTTGGGCAGATGACTGTTTCACTGTTCCTCAGATTACAAGTACAGCAGCCCCATCTGCAGGCTTTAAGCGATCCAGATCTTTATGGTATAACAATCACTAAACACCCTCGTTTCTTCTGCCCTTTTTTTGTTCATCTGATCTGGGTTTGTTTATTATCATCTTCTTCTTCTGGTTTCTTTTACTTTTTGCTTCTGATCTGTAATTTTAATGGGTTTCTCTTACACTTTGTTTAGGCTTCACCTCTCCTTTACTGGGTTCATTCTCTGGTTTCTGTTACTTTTTGCTTTCAAAAGAAAAAAGTTGCAGCTGTAATATATTGGGTTCTTCTTCTTCTCTCTTTTTTCTGTCTGGGCCCTTTTATTTTGTGTAATTTTTGACACAGGAACTCTATAATTGGCATGATATTGTCCGCTTTGTCTAGCATGATATTGTCCACTTTGAGCGGTGTGCCTTCCTCCCCTCCAAAAATCTTTCCCCATCGAACAAAGATCATCATAGAGCTTCCTATGAGCCTATGGAGCTCTCGAAGACTACTTCTTTTTCTTTGGAGTCTTCGAACAAGGAACACCATAAAGCCTCCTCTGAGCCTATGGAGATCTCAAAGGCTCGACTCCTTTTTTTGGAGCCCTTGAACAAAGAACACCATAGAGCCTCCTTTGAGCCTGTGGAGCTCTCAAAGGCTCGACTCCTTTCTTCGGAGCCTTCAAACAAAACACACTATAAAGCCTCCTCTGAGCCTCGTGGAGCTCTCAAAGGCTCGACTCCTTTCTTCGGAGCCTTCGAACAAAACACACCATAAAGCCTCCTCTGAGCCTGTGGAGCTCTCAAAGGCTCGACTCCTTTCTTCAGAGCCTTCGAACAAAACACACCATAAAGCCTCCTCTAAGCCTGTGGAGCTCTCAAAGGCTCGACTCTTTTCTTTGGAGCCCTCGAACACCATAGAGCCTCTCCTGAGCCTATGGAGCTCTTGAAAGTTCGACTCCTTTTTTTGGAGTCCTCGAACAAAATACATCGTTAGTTCGACATTTGAGTCACTTTTGACTACACTTTCGAGTCTCACAACTTCTTTGTTCGACACTTGAGAATTCTATTAACACGATCAAGTTAAGGGCATGACTTTGATATCATGTTAGGATCTCCGAATCTCCAATGGTACGATATTGTCCATTTTGAGCATAAACTCTTGTGGTTTTACTTTCGGCTTTTTCGAAAGACCTTATACCAACAGAGATAGTATTCCTCACCTATAAACTCGTTACATTTTTGTCGGGTGGGTATTACTTTTTGGGTAAATTTTCACCTGTAGTTCATGGGTCTTCTATGGTACTATTATTTACTCAAAACTGTAATTTCAATGGAGTCATTCTCATTGAAAATTGAGTTACTGAAAAGTGCGTTGAACAAGCCTTGAATGAGGCCTTTGTGGTGGAAGGAAGTGCTTTCTGTTGTGTAGTGGAAGTGCTTTTCCCAGCTTGCAAAGGCAACAATGGCGGCTTTCTATTAATATTATATTCTGATATTTTCTTCTCTTTCTCCCTAAATAAGCGTGCAAATTAAATTAAATTAAATTTATTCCTTATTTGTTATATTATGTTTATTAGGGAACCCTATATTATTACATAAATTACACATTAATTTTAAATGAATTTGTATAATATACTAGCCTACATGTAACCGATTAAGTCTACTACTAGTAGATATTGTCTACTTTGGCTCGTATCGTCGTCATTCAAGATCTCATAATCTACCTCCTTAAGTGACGCTTGAAATCTTACAATTTTGGCACATCGTTCGGTGTCTAACTCTGATACTATTTTTAACCACTCAAGTTCACTGCTAGTAGATATTGTTCGTTTTAGCTCGTAACGTATCGTTGTCAGCCTCACAGTTTTAAAATAAATCTATTAAGGAAAGGCTTCTATGCTCTTAACAGTATATAACAAAATAAAATAAAAAAAAAATCGTTGGTATAAATTAGTTATTAAATCGAGACATTGAATTTTGGTTTCGGGTTGAAAAATCACGTCTACAAATATTATTTTCATTATAAATTTTTTTTTCTTGTTTTCTAGTCTACTTTTTACATAGATTTAATAAGCTAAGCTAAAAATAATATTTCTTAAAATTTTGTTTTGTTTTTATAATTTGAATAATAATTCAAATGTTTTCTTAAAAAACAAACAAAATTTGAAAAATTAAAAACTAGAAGAATTAGATTTTTATAACATTTTTTTAGAATTTGATAAAAATTAAAATATATTTTTTTAAAAAAAAAATACAAAAATCGTTGTGAATAAATTATGAAAATGTGAACACAATTTTTGAATATGTAATTATTTATTTTTTATTTTAAAAAATTAAATTTATAAATACTATTTCTCCCTCCAAGTTCCTCCATTTTGTTATATCTACTTATTATACACGTTTTCAAAATTAAAATAAAAAATAATTTTATAAGCTTTTTTTATTATTTTTTAATTATCATTATCAAGCAACAATGAGAAAACAAGAGAGAAATAATAAAACTATTTTTTTTTAATTTCCTTTTTAGGTATATCAATTTTGTCAACGATGAACCTAATACAGAGTGTATGGATTGATATAAATTAATTTTCATATAATAGTTATATTAATGTTATACCTAATCCAAACTATATAAATAATTATTCTACTTTATATTAAGTATTGAAATAAAATAAATATATGCAATTTTGCAATCCATTAATCAACCGGGTAGTTTAGTTAGCCAGGATACTTAGCTTTCACTCGATAGACTCGAATTTGATTCCGGGCAATAGAATGTCGACCCAAGTCAATGATGGGTGCTTAAATAGACGTACAAATATTCACACAAGGACGTGCCACTCCAAAGTTGATTACTATGAATTTTCATATTTTTAATAATTTTCTTCCTAAATTTCAGTGTGATTGAGAAGGTTAGGGTTCTGCACTTTTATTCTAAAATAAGTTAAATTAATAAAAATACTCATAAAATTCTTTAAATTAGTCTATGCCCGACTTTCTTCAAACCCTTTAAGTTTTTTTTTTTTTTAAATTAAGAATATATTTTTAAACCGCTTTTAAAAGTTAAAAGTATTTTTGAAATCTATAGGAGTGTTTCATATTTTTTTAAAAACATTTTTTAATTTAAAAGTATTTTTTTTAAAGATGTTTTCTCAAAATTTATAGAATTTTAAACGTATTATATATATATATATATATATATATATATATATATATATATATAATTTCCCCACCCTTTTCTTTCTTCTCCCTCCGGTTGTTGCAGCCACGTGTCACGGTCATGCTGGTCGAAGGCATGTTGCCCATAGCATGCCCATGACACAACCAACCCTTCATATCTTTTTCATATTCTAGTGTTTTATTTTTATATGTCTAGGAAGTATGACGTTTCAAAAATATCATGTCTAGGCGTGTGAGACATGAAATGCCTCAGAATGTATTAGAGGGGATACAATTAGTTGTCAACTTTTCCCTAGTTATATACTGTAAGCGGTTGTTATTTCTCTCTTGGTTGCTTATATGATGTATCTTTCAAAAATCTCTCTGCCCTCGTTTTCTAAAACTTTCTCTTAAAATCGAGGCCAGGGGCTCGAACATAGGTCGTTTGGTCGTAGACGACGCAAGAACGAATTGGCTTAACTCACTTGTCGTTGGAAGGTGAGTATCGCACAATCACAAATCCGCTGCCTTTAGAAGTGCAATTGTGACACCAGGCTCATTGCACAGTTTTCTTTCCCCACTTTACTTCTTCTCAATAACTCCCTCTCCGCTACCACCCACGCCCGCGCACCCTCTCCGCTGCAGTCGCACCCTCCATCGGCATCGGCATCGGCATCGTGCTTTTCTTTTCCTCTCCCTATCTTCCTCTCTCCTTCAACCACGCCGGCACGCACCATTGCCCACTGCATTCTTCTGCTCGTCGGTCAAGGTCCAAAAAACTCACTCTTCTGCAACCCCTCTCTCTCAATCGTTTGTTGCTGAGTACGTATACATCATTTTGATTTCATTCGGAAGTTGGGTAAAGTTGGAATGATGTCAAATTTAATTTGAAATCCTGCATCGCTTATGGAGGGAACTTCAGCAACATTATGGAGGATCTTGAGCATTTTCAGGTTTGATGTTGATTGTCCATATTTCATCACCACGCCTTTGATGCATTTCTCACTCTCTACTTTGATTTTACTCTGTAAGTTCGAACGATGATTTTTAATTCCTTCAAACACCATGAGAAATGCCATAGATGTCCGAGTTTTGGCAAACCGTTACGCCGCACAATTGCAACTCTGTTGCCCACAAAATCCCTCTTCATTTTCACTTGCTCGGACTGTTCATGCCCACATGATTGTTTCGGGATTCAAGCCTCGTGGCCACCTTGTGAATCGTCTGCTTGATATATACTGGAAATCGTCTAATCTTGTGTATGCCCGCCAACTGTTCGACGAAATTCCCAATCCAGATGCTGTAGCCAGGACTACATTGATTACGGCATACTCTAACTTGGGAAATTTGAATATGGCTCGAGAAATATTCAATGGAACTCCATTGAATATGAGGGATACTATTTTCTATAATGCAATGATTACTGGGTTTTCGCATAACGTTGATGGTCATTCTGCTATTGGACTGTTTCATGCTATGAGACGAAGCAATTTTCGGCCTGATGACTTTACATTTACAAGCGTGCTCAGTGCTTTAGCGCTTATTGTTGATAATGAGCAGCAGTGTGGCCAAATGCATGGTGCGGTGGTGAAATCTGGAACTGGGCTTGTTTCTTCAGTGTTGAATGCTCTTCTATCTGTTTATGTTAAATGTGCTTCTTCGCCATTGGTGTCATCTTCGTCACTGATGGCATCAGCTAGAAAACTGTTTGATGAAATGCCACAAAGGGATGAGTTAACATGGACAACATTGATTACTGGGTATGTGCGGAATGATGATTTGAATGGCGCTCGTGAACTTCTCGACACGATGACTGAAAAGCTCGGGGTAGCTTGGAATGCAATGATCTCTGGATATGTGCATCATGGTCTTTTCGAGGATGCCTTGACACTGTTTAGGAAAATGCGTTTTCTTGGTGTCGAGCTCGATGAGTTCACCTATACGAGTGTAATCAGTGCTTGTGCCAACGGTGGTTTTTTTCAACTGGGAAAAGAGTTGCATGCTTACATTCTTAAAAATGAGCTGAACCCAAATCATGATTTTTTATTGTCTGTGAGTAATTCATTGATTACTTTGTACTGGAAATATGGTAAAGTTGATGGGGCTCGGCACATTTTTTATGAGATGCCTGTTAAAGATATTGTTTCTTGGAATGCA